GTTTTAAAAGCATTACCTGGTACATAATTGATGTACAGGCTGAACCGGAGTTGCCGTTCTAAATGTAGATAATTTTGTAGTTGAGAACTGTGTGGGGCTCTCCTCTATGCATCTGTGCTTCCTGAGAGTAATTTCTTAATAAATTTCTGGTAAGTTATCTTAATACTTTGAATTAGCATATTGAGGAGTTAACACTAAAAAATTATACAACATCTTGTAACAAATGGATTTTTTTTAAGGCTTTCTTGCAAAGTTAAATGAAGCAAAACTGGCTTAATTGAACACTTCAAGGCAGTTTTTTCCATTGATTTGCACACTATACGCTTCTTTAAATAGTGCAGGATTATAGTGCTATGTCATATGGGGGCTTTACCTTCAGGGTATGTGGTATTAAAATTCAGCTTGTCCGTGTGTTATCAGATATGTAGTCTGTAGAAAACAAGAAGTCCAGTAGCAGTGAGTTTTAAATGTAGTTTTGAATATTTCTCATAAGAAACATAGGAAAGCAGTCCCATTGACTTCAGTTTTACTGAGTTTAATTTGATACATTAATTATTAGATAGTTAGCTATTTAAAGGCTTTAAAAGATGACTTCATTACCTTCATACTTGAAGATAATCTTGAGTTTCTAAAAGGTATTTTGTACTCTTTTTTTAAAGTGAGACATGGTAGACACATCACATTTTTATAATTCATACATAACCACAAATAAGAATATTTTGTTGGGTTTTTTTTCTTAGTTGTCACTGATTTTTTCTAAATTACTTGATGTTGGTAGATAATCTCACAAATATTTTTATTTGTGCATTTTAGGAAATAGGGAGATGATTTGATTTTTAAGAGTGAATATCAGTTCAATTCTAGTCATCTATAAAAGAGGGATGATTCCATACTCTTCTTCTAAATTTTCCAGTGTATTGGTCAAACTGCAGCAGTTTGGAAGCATTTTTCTGTTGGAAGAATAACAGCAATTTTCATTCACTTGTGAATCTCTTTTGAGATGACTTTCTGGAGAGATTAGTATTTGTCTTGCCACTTCACCAGGGTCAAACTTGAGAAGCGTGTGCGTAGTTACTGTTTTGTACCTGAGAAGCTATTGTAGCGTTTCTTTGGAATTACCTCATGTATCGTTGAGCTCTGATGATATTTTCAAATATCCGTTTGCCTTGCTTCATCCTGAATGGCAAAGAGCCTTAGAAGGAGCAGTAAACATGAAAACATAGTCTGTGTGTAAGTGCTTGTGGGCAGGTAAGAGAAATCAAAGGCACTATGTTGGATTACTTTTGTATTGATTTGATTCTCGTGTTAGATCAGTGCTGATTTATTGAAGGCAGCTGTTGCTGCAGTTGCTGCATTTAGTTGTTCTAAAGACAATAAATGTGCTGGTTTTCCAATATGTAGCACATCCTTAAAGTCACTACTACAGAGTAACGTTCTAGAAGGCTCAGAAGAGTTTTACAACCATACTTTTAAATCGCTCCTTTGTCAGTCAGTTCTTCTTAAAAGTGACAACAAATACAAAATGAGTTGAGTTTTAGTGTGTAGTGTCCTGACTTTAATAACCTCCTTTTGGTTTTGAAATGCTTCTTTTTTGAATTTGCTCTTCTGGTTGTCAATCTTGCTTTTCTGTATACAATTAGTAATTAAAAAAAAATAAAAATAACTAGTAGGTAGCAAGCTGTGTTCCATGAGAATCCATGAAGATGAAAAAAAAAGCAATGGAACTAGAAAGTGATTTCCTAATGTACCTCAATATTAGGCCACTCTTCTGCTCCATTTTTTTTAATCTGGTGAATCTTAAATACCTGAAGCTTTTGACAGTTTGCTAGTCACTTGTATTATGTTTTGGGTTTTTTTTTTAAAAAAAAAAGCTGTAATAATGATTTCTATTGAAATTCTGTCAGTGCTCACTTTCTGAGGGAAAGCTCACTTTGGTGTATTCAGAGCAGGGGAAGGTGCTGATGGGGGTTAAAAGTAGTAAGAGCATTTAAATTATGGGCAATTCATATGGTGAAAGTGTTTACTTAACGAAGCCTCAATATGCTAGTTGGACTTGGAATCTTCCTGCTCTTCTCTAGAAAATAAGTCCAGAACAACAAAAATCCCTGAGATGCAGCTGAGGTGTGTTCTGGAACTGCCTGTGCTGTTGTGTTTGGAGCTTGAGACTAGGAGAGTTGATTTTAGAGCTTGAAAGCAAGGAGAGTGTGTGCTGACCCTAACAGCAGTGCTCCTGTCCCTCCAAATATGGGTTCTTTCAAGCTGTGTGAACAGGGTTTTTAACATAATCTTCAGATTACAGTTTGATGCAGTGAGCAAAAGAAGGCAGCCTGAGAGGGGACAAACAGAAAAATCCATTTCAAGTGACAACCAGTTTAGCTAGAGTTAGAGAGACAGGGTTTTTCTTATTTTTTAACATAATCAATACTGATTTCAGGCTGTAGTGATACAAATTTAAATATTTTTTTTCAGGGTAGCAAAGGTTAGGAATTCTATGTAAATAGAACTGGGCAGGAATTAAACAGGTACAGCAAAGTTTAAGGTTATGCAGTTGGTTTTTTTTTGCTTTAGGAAGGGGACTCAGCAGTCGAAACTGTATTAGCATTTTTATGATGATAGGTATTTACTCAGATGTGTAATGCTGCAATCTGACATTTAGTTTAGTGGCTGAAGGAAGGAATTGCTTCCACTCATTTGTGCCAGTTCAGCTGTTTGCGAGGCTGTACAGCAGAGTCTGTTTTTTGATTGCACTACAACTTAAAAATACATTTCAAACTGTGGTCTTGCATTATAACAGATACTGTGAGCTACTAATGTGCTTTGGCTGTGATACATCTGATCCTAAAATGCTTCTGAAGGAGCAATTCCTAGCAAACCAAACCAATGTTGATACCAGACAAGTCATTGGAAACGTCTTAAATCCTCAATGTAGTTGTGGCCAACCTGTGCCAGAAAGATGAACTTGGAAAGGCCTGCTGTTGTGATGAGGTAGCGAAGTGAAAAGGAGAATGAAATTACAAAAAAGCCCCTGGATCATTCACTGTGTGGAATCAAGACTGAAACTAAACTTGATGCTTCTCCACAAATACATTGGAGGCTTAAGGGAAAAGTGGAGAAGGGTTTCTAGCTCAGCTGGATGGGTGAACCTCTAAAAGCGGGAATTTTTCAATGTTGAATCCTGCCTTCTCCCCACTGTGCTATTCTGCTTGCCTGCATGTCCAACGTAATCTCTCTCTCTGTTTACACAAATCTGGAACCTGTCTTTCATAGTGTTTAGCTGCCATCTGGACAAGGGCAGCTGTAGCTTGTCTGGGTCTGCTGGTCGGTGTATGTGGAGAGTTTAGATGGTTGGATGCAGTGTGTAGAGAGAAAGGAAGTTCTCCTCTATCTCCAAGCTGCCAAGATAGCATTTATTTGAAGGTAAGTATTTTTGGCTTTTTCTGTGTTTAGAATTTTCCATGGCCCTTATTTTATCCTTAGAAAATCTAGTATGGTAGAGAAGGGTGTGAAGAAGAGGCAAATATTGTCTCCTGAAGCTGCCGTTTACCTTAGAATAATGCTTGTGTGGGAGGTTCGGATGGATGTGCGAGCCCTCGCATTGAAAGGCGCTTGTGCCGAGACTTGTCGCTTGTGTGTGCCGGCAGCGGAGCACTGCAGAATTCCACTTGCTTTGGGACTCTCCAGTCAGATGAGCAGCTGTGACAGGTACCTGAGGTCATGGCTGGGAAACTCACTATCAGGCCTCAAAATAGAAATTCTGCTCGTTGTCACCACCAACATGATAGTCACCCTTCAGAACGATTCATTTCTTCCCAATCTAGTTTTGATATCCTTAGATAATTTATTTAGGCTTTAGTCTGGGAGTATGGCTGCTGGTTAAGTGTCTTACTTTTTTTAGTATAATAAGAGTATTCTAAAGACTCTGTGTGGAATGTTACTCCCACGTAACTCTGATGTTACTCCCACGTGTGCATCTCAAGCTACTTTAGAAGCAGCTACCCTACCTGAGCCTCATCCAGAGAGAGGTGTGGGTGATACCACGAGAGAGTCAGGGTACAAACAGAACCTCAGTTTTCAAATTTTTATTTATACATTCAAACCTGCATATTGAGGGCCAGTGTTTGTGGGGAGAGTGGTTGGAAGGGACCTGTCATTGTTACTGTCCCTTTCATATGTGCCATGTCCATTTTCCTCATGTCTTTTTCAGTCTTGCTGACTTGAAACAGCTTTTCCTTTGAGGTCAGCTCCTGTGATAATTTTCTATTTTTTTTGGTGGTGGTTGGGGTGTTGTGCTTGGGAGAGGAGAGTAATCCTAATTGGAAACTGTATTTCTAAGCATTAGTGCCTATTTGGCCCTGGTCTCCCCCCCCC